CTGTTTATTTGACATTTTCCAACTTCATCACAGTTACACACAGTCTATTTTCATACGATATTCATATTGTCAAACTTTGTTAATGTAGATGTTTGTTTATGAAACTGTTTGACCATTCTGCTCACAGACAACGATATATGTAGCACTTCTCCTAGACCATGTGATGCTAAGGGTGCCTGTTCCAACACTTCTGCATGGAAGTTTCACATAGCATGGAAGTTTCACATATACCAGGCTATCGTAGAGATGGAGAGGTATGTAGAGGATTGTAGAGGTATGCTATAGTATGTGTTGTCACACGTACTAGCTGTCAGAGGTATTTATAGAAAGGTGTTCATCGAGCATTCCAAGCAGCTGTTTGGTGAGAACTTACGACTCGTCATAGTTTATAACGGCGGATTCATCCTGGATAAGATCTAACTAAAACCTGTTGCACACAGATCTTATACGTTACTCAAGAATCTCGATCGTCCAACTAACTCCCATCCTAACAGCTAATTTCCATATGATCGATCGAGTTACATTTCAAGTGTTTCATATAATGTAGCGCGCGTTTGCTAATGGAAACTGGTCCCTGACCCGTTCGTTGCTCACATGACAACGGTACCTATCGGCTCTGCCACCTATCTTCTTTATTGAATTTTTTTAAACTATTAACTTTGATTGAACTAATTATTTGAAAGTAATTATATAATGTTCGAGTAATTCCAAGTGTCAAACTTTGTAAAATGTAGAGGTTTGTAATGAACAGTTACAACTGTTGGACCATTCTGCTCACAGACAACGATACTATTGGTCGACTTTCTCCTAGGACCCATGTGATGCGGAATGGTCGCCTGTGCCAACACTCGCTGGGACGCGTAAATAGACTGTGTGTAACTGTGATGAAGTTGGGAAATGTCAAATAAACAGAATCTAGGAACGTTGATAGGAATCTTATCGTAAGGTAAAAGAAGACAAGGAATGATGAAAAACTTTAGAAGGTGAACGATCACAGGAAGAGTCATATATACTCAAGATCGGCTAGAGAGATATGTTATGACTGTATTTATCGCCAATATAATAATGTAAATGGTCAGCACAAACATTACAGTTTACAAGGCATGATTCACAAAAATATTAAGTGTATGAAGGTTAAGCAACAATTCCCATTAAAAGTTACTAGGAATATCTGCGTGTGCGTGCGGACGTGTTGATATTTCAATGCTTGTTGTGTATTTGTTTTTCATCTGAACGCAAAGGTCTGCACTACATTTTATATCAAGATAAAGAGGGCTAAACACGACATTGTTTTGAGCATACATGCGTGCACATTAATCGGTGCGTGTTGTATGTATGTTTTTACATGAGTATGTATTGCGTATGTGCACGTCTCTCTTTCTCTTTCTCCCTCCCTTTCTCTTTTTCTCTCTTTTTCCCTTGATTTTCTCTCTCCACTCTCACCCTCTCTCTCACACTTCCACTCACCCGCTCCGCTCTCACACCTCCACTCTCCCCCTCTCTCTCTCACCCTCTCCCAGATACATTTCTGTATTACATTGGTTAAACGCAGGCAGGAATCGGGCAAACACATCTATCGCATTAATTAAAATGGTAAAAGTTCACGATTGTTTAGACACTATTTTACTATCACAAGGATGGAACGAACAGTTGGTGTACACAGCTCATGAAACCCACTTAAACCTAGGTAACGTTAGATACAGTATATTGCTATTACTAAAACATGCATAACCATACTATATAGTAGCAATCACCTTTTTACTATTTTAAGTAACTACTGTGAAACAATGTCATATATGTGTATGGACTGATCTATCTACTTTTCATTTCAACTGGTCGAAAAGTTATCTCGATCATTTCATTCTTGCAAAGCAAATTGCATCGGGTTTCAGTTTATACCAGACTTTTCGTGCTGTTAAAGCCACGGTCACAACGAGCCCACGACGCATTTGTGCCACAACACGACAGAAAATTTGGGCAAATCGTGGGTCATCGGGGGTCGTCGCAAGACAGTCCTACGAAATTTTGAGCATCGTGGCATCGACTTGCATGTGTGTGTGTGTGTGTGTGTGTGTGTGTGTGTGTGTGCTCGCGCACATATAGATATCTGTTTGTGCACGTAAGTGCATATGCTCGCGTGCGTATAGGTATCTGTTTGTGCGCGTAGGTGCGTAGGTATACGTTTGTGTGCATGCTCGCGTGCGTATAGGTATCTGTTTGTGTGCGTAGGGGCGTAGGTATATGTTTGTGTGTGCATGCTCGCGCGCGTATAGGTATCTGTTTGTGCGCGTAGTACATGTTTGTGTGTGCGTGTTCCCGCGCGTACAGGTTATCTGTTTGTGTGTGTGTGTGCTCGCGCACATATAGATATTTGTTTGTATGCGTGTTCCTGGTGTACAGGTATCTGTTTGTGCACGTGAGTGCTTGCACGCGTATATAGATATACTATATAGTCTCCAGTCATGCTCTATCTATATGGACTCCAGTGAGCGGGCAGGGTCTCAGCATTAACAGCAAAGCCATGGTTCTGCGTGGTGATGAAGCAGCGCTCGGTGCCATGGTGCGTGCACGGTTGGTTGTGGCTGCGATTGCCGCAGCTAACAGGGAAAAACACCACAGTCATGCATACAGACAGATAAATGTGTTAATACAATGAGACAATCACTAATTATTATATTAATATATCAATTTCATTTAATATTTCATTTTATATTAATTTCAAATAATTAAAAATTATTGCCAATAAATATATTAAATAAAATATAAAATATTATTACATTAAATATCATTAAAGAGAACAAAAACATGGAAAAAGAATCGGCCATGTAGTACTCAGACAGCGCGGTTTCCAGCCACTGACCCAGTAGCACCACTTGTGCAGGTGGCCAGTGACCGTGGGCCTTCATAGTGACCCGTCAATACCCCTGCGCGAATCATCACTGTATCACACTCTCTTCTTTCTGCCATTTTAATAATATTCCTCTTGCTTATAAAAACGTAGTACAATCGGTTGACACTTGACCCTCTTTGTCTTACCTCATCTTAAACGATTTTGCACCAGCTGCTAATGAGAGCAACTGGTGACCGAGACAGATACCGAATGCCGGTTTGCAATTCTCTTCTTCTATCAACTTCCGTAGATTGGTAATGGTGGCAACACACTGGGTCGGATCTCCAGGTCCATTGCTTATAAAAAGGCCATCATATTCTGAAAAAAATGTTGTTTGAAAATGAATACCTGGGTGTTTTACTAAGCGTACACAGACACATCCCCATGCATTCACACAAACATGTATGAACCCACAGATACATGCACACACCTACAGGTAGGCACAGACATACACCGACACAGGCACATGCACACACAGACATGTACATACAGCTAGTGTTTCCCCTGGCCAAAAAGGTCTGTGAAGTGGTACTTTTTTTGGTGTGTTTGCGCATTTCGAGGACCTAGCAAAGCGAGGGGGCCCAGCTAGGGGGGGTCCGAGGGTATGCCCCGCTAAATTTAAAAAAAAATTGTGCATACTAAGCATTAATTGATGCATTCTAAGAACTGTTCTATGGAAGAACAGTGATTTTCGTCAGCGAGGCGGTGATTAAGGACAAATTTCTGTGTGGCGGCTGAGAATTTGAGTGAGGCGGCCCGCCTCGCTCGTGTCAATGCAGGGGAAACACTGTCCATTATAATAACACACAAACACATTGACGTGCTTCCATGCAACCACAAACTCACACAAACATCTGTGCACATATGCATGCACTAACGCAAACACAAGCACACGTATGGACACACGTACACAACTAGTGAACGCTGACACGGCGCAGGGACACATTCTCACCGTTGCTTCTCAGTGGATGATCCCAAGGCACAACTGTCACCTTCGCCCCGCGTGTGACCAGGCAGCGTATCTGATTAAACTTAAACTGAGTCCGCAGTCAACGCAGACAATACTGGNTATTCAGCGAAGCTCATATTGTCGGATAGGTTAACCTATTACTATGTAATGAATTCAATTTTGTGGGGATTTTGGGGGTTCTAAACATTTTATGAAGGTTGTTATATAGCTGCATTATTGGTGACCGGCCAGCATTGATTTACACTCATAATTGATTTACCTTATTACTCGACGCGGCCTGACCCGCCGGGCACATGTGGGGAGTGTTGTTTTGTCGATAGGGGAGAGAGGGAAAGACTAAGAATGCGAAGCAGGAATATTGACTCCTATTTCAGGAGGGGGAAAGGAATTCTTGAATTGCTCTGTTTAGGTAGGGAAAGCGAATATTGAGCTCACTTGTTCAGGTGAGGGAAAGGAAGTTATGAATCACTATACAGGTGGGGGAACAGGACCACCTATTGACTTCACTTTCAGCGTAGAGAAAAGGAGTTTGTGAATCACTTTACAGAGGTGTGGGGGGAAAGGAAAATATTTGGACTCACCTTCTTAGGGCTGGCGGGTAAGGCAATTTTGATTGGCTGGTTTTAGGTAGGATAGGAGAAATTCTTGTTATAATATATAAATATCTATAATACTAAATATTAATAACTTTTTTGATAACTATAAATATACTATAGTTGATAACATTAGACCATTATAGGCATAACTTCTGCCAGTGAGTGAGCTTTTTCTTTTACTTATAATATTTTAATTTATTTATTAATTTTGCATTATTTTTTTAAAATTTTTATTAATACATATTTTTTTACAGTCACCGATTCTATCACAATATCATTAGGTAATCTCACTAAGATTAATTGTGGTGTCCATCATTTTCCATCTTCAGTACTATGATATTGAATAAGCTATAATTATCGATGAATAATTAATACTTTTACATGTTATTGGCATATTATAGCTTAACACTGTTCGCATAACCAGCAAGCGATTACACGGGGCCAAGATCAGTTAAATCTCACCGATATAAGGCAGAACCAGCGACACCTAAACGTAGTAGTGTTAGCGATCTGTAATGTGCGAGCAATGCTGCGAGGTTACTGAGTCACCCGTGGTACGTGCGTGACCCTACATTTGTATAAATTACTATAAAATTCAGCTGCGTATATTCAAGGCAGAAAGCGCAGATATCTTGTGGGAAGTGGTTAACGGGACAGGTCAGGCCTCTAGGGATTGTTACTGCATACCCAAACCTGTACTTACTGGTATAACAAATCGGTCGATATACCCACACGTATTTGTTACCAAATTACCTATTTAATTGTCTGATAATTATTTACAATTGCAACGCTCATGAAATTTGAACCAGGCGCCGCATGACACCTCCGCGCGACCGTGCTGACGCCGCGCGAAGAGTTCGTACTTTGACAATTATCTTTGCACGGTTACAGACGTCGAGGGCCGTAATACCACAAAAAGTTGCAATGATTTAATACTACGTTAAATAGCTATTTACACGGTAGACGATTTCCACATTTTATGGCCAGCATGTTCTATCCATTATTATAAACTGAAATCTTATATGTCGTCTTATTAAAGATAATTATCAATCCTGTGTTTGCTTTTAAATGAATAAATCAAGCAAAGCACCCTCGGCTCTGTAGCTCTTGGGCTGGTGGAAATCGCCGGTTTTTGCGCAAACTTATCAGATCGTACGCTTTGGAGTGGCGCTCACGTCGTTGCTAATCCTGTAGTTCAAGTTAGTTTTTAAACACATAACAATTTTTATTTAATAATACTTTCTAATGTGTGATTGAAACGATGAAAATTGTTTTTAATGTAGCGTAATTTCTAACCTAACTTAGACTTCGAAAATAATCCTACACACCTTAGAGCTTAAGAAACCTCTCCTTTAATATTATACGTATGAAGTTCAATTGTGCTGGATTTTGGGGGTTTCTAAACATTGTATGCAAGCTTGTTTATACGCTAATTATGTGTACGGTACATTATTTACATAGTATATATACAGGCGGTTCTCCCCAGGATCTGAAATTCAAACAGGACGAGTGGAGGGGGGAGGGGGGAGCTGAGGAGGGGCGAGGTGAAACTTAGGGGGTCCGGGGGGGCGTGTTTTTTTACCGCTACCACTAATTAATGCCGTAAATTCGTCACCACACCATAGACGGTATTTTGGGGTTCTTCTATTATTATAAAGATAGGCGAAGTCCTGTGTCAGCTACGAGTCAGTGTTCGGTGTGGGACACGTCGGTGACCTGTGTTGTACTTGGTGTATTGCTTCTGCAGCTTCATGGTAGGCACCTAGTAAAAATACATGCCAGTTGTCGGTCGTCGAATGGGAATTCTTGCACGATCGATTCCCGCTCGGCGCTTTGCAACTTTTATTGTGGTGGACATTTAATCGCGGTGGCGGAGGATATTTTAAACGGAGGCGCAACGATTCGATAACAGGGGGGAGTGTTTCCCAAACGGGGCCGCGCGCCCCGTTCGCCCGCAACGTAAGGCGAGAACCCCTGAATATATGATATATATTATTTATTAGTTGCTCGACGCTGACATGTAACCGCCGGCAACAGGGGATGTGTTCGTTTTCGATAGGGAAGGAAGAGGAGAAGATGAAGAAGCAGCGAAGGAAATATTGCACTCACTTTTCATGGATTAGGAAAGGAATCTCTTAACTACTTTACAGCCGATAGCGGGAAGAAAGATTTGACTTGCTTTTACGGACTAGGGGAAGGAATTCTTGATTCATAATATAATAATATAAATATATAGTTACAACATAGACCATTATATCATAACTCTGCCAGGAGTGACTTTTTTTTATAATTTTTTATTTATTTATATTTTTCCATTATTTTTTCCATTATTTTTTAAATATTTTTTTAAATGGATATTTTTTACTTCAAATTCTATCACATATAATTAGGTATCTCATTATCATGTGTCATAGTTTCCATCTATAGTACTATGTATTAATAAGTATATTTTCATGACATATTTATATTTTACATGTTTTATTGGCCTATATAGTTACATGTTCAAAGACATACAGGGCAGCTCAGTTAATCTCACCATATAAGCAGACCAGCAACACCAAACTATAGTGTTAGCGATCTGCATGTGCGAGCAATGCACATGCGAGTTACTGAGTCACCCTGTAGCGTGACCCTACATTTGTTTAATACTATAAAATTCAGCTCCTATTCAGCAGAAGCAATATTGTGGTGGTTAACTAGTATGAGTACTACTATGTATGAATTCAATTGTGGGGATTTTGGGCTTCTAAACATTTATGCAAGCTTATTATACGCTATTATTGTACATTATTTACATATATATATTATTTATTATTGCTCGACGCGTGTATCTGCCACCACAGGGGGAGACGTGTTGCTTTCGGTGTTAATTTATCAGGTAGGGAAAGGAATTTCGACTCACATTTCAGGTAGGGAAAGGAATAAAGAAGCAGTCGCTTTTTGGCAAATTTTTTTAGGTTTTGGGGAACAAAATAAAAGTAAAACGAAAACCCTTTCAGATTAGGTCCAGAAAAGGGGAAGGGATAACTTTGGGGTTTCAGGTAGGGGTAGATGAGGCCACGCAGCGAACCACAGGGACAACCCACGCCAGTAGAAGCCATGCAGACACATAGCTCAGGGGCGTGTACAGGGGGGGGGTCCAGGGGGTCCGGACCCCC